TAAAATTGCTTATAGATAAACTACACTTCATTTGACTTTGTCGATTATTTTATTATGATCCCACTATTTCAAAAACGGTTACATGAAGGCTATCGGTCTTTCGTTTCTATTTCAAAGCATGTACAGACACTATTTCTGTTGAGGCAAAAAAACAGATATTTAGCTAATTAGTGTTAAAATCCCATTTATGATGTCTTTAGAGATCATGTACCTCTATAGGTACGCTCAATGTAGCTATGTTCTCGTACSMAGGTCCTCCTCGCTTCACTCCTAAACGGCTCTCGAAGTCACTATAACCCTTACTGATTCAAAGACTTCAGTGATYTTTGATTTTTCTTCATTGTTTTTTCGTTCTTTTTTCATTTGTTGTTGTTATTGTTGTTTTAATGCGTTAAGCAAATACATTTAGCCGTTGTATGTGCAGCGACGCCATTTTTGTAATCTTCGCACTTTTAGTCCCTTAAACTGTTTTGCCTTATAGATTTCTTTGTAGATGCCGAACAATTATTCGAATTTTCGCAAAGAAGAATTAGAAGTGGCTTAGCATAAGTATTTTAGATTTAGCGGACATGAAAACATACGCGCGAGTAGTATTATGGGAGTCCATTATGTATAGTTTAAAACACGATCTCGAAGCGAGATGTTTTCTATTAAAAAAAGTTTTTTTCAAGGTTTCCCTGCACCATCTTAAAAGGCAGCCACACCTTTGTACCAAAGCGAGACGACCGCTCTCTCACACCCATAGGCAATTGGTCACTGGTAACCAACTCCTGGTAACTATCTTTTTTGATGGTTTGTTTGCTACCATAGCATTCTTACCTTTCATCCATTTGATGCAAAACCATATTCATATCTTTTAGGATGGCGCAGGGAGTATAATGAAAAAGGATGTTTACATACGAATTCTTACCTTTTTATTTACTGGTACCAGTTTGAGGAGYCTGGACAATAACCTGSACTTGATGAGAYGCACTGCCCAGTGAATTTTGMACRTGACATTTATATGTACCGCTGTCGGAGAGCTGGGCACTAGAGATGACGTAATCACGGCCAATWACTGTCATGCTCATGTCATAGAGGAGTGATGATACCACGCGGTCGGGGCTTGGTTGGTTACCTAGTATATAAATCGAACAGTTTGATAGTGATTTCTTGAAACATCGATATATGGAGCTAATTCAAAACTTTAGTTAGAAATTCAGAATTGTGCCTTCCCACTTATTGATCGATCTTCTCTCCCAGAAATGAGATTTCGACGCCCGAGGGGATCCAAGTGACACAAATTTATTCCCATGGTCTCCTCGATGATATAAGATGATCTGCTGTCAAATGAAACAGCAATTATCTGTTTTGAAATGRAAAGTAAGGGAATTTCTTACCTCCAATTTTAGTCCAGGTAACAGTCGGAGAAGGTCGTCCGTTTACAAAACATTCTAAGATGAGCACGTTGCCGACTTCGACTCTCAGTTCTTTGGCTGGGAAAGTTTCGCTGATTGAAGCGGGGACTGCAGGTAAAGAGACAGAAAATCAGAACTTTATTCAAGAAATTGAAGACTTTTTCCTTGTTTACATATCGATGATATATAATAATTATCTCCTGTCTACATTAGCAGACTTAGAGTGATCATTTAATTATGATCATGCCTATTTAATGTTCCTTTTAGTGCTTGTTTGTAGAAGTTATCAGCAGTAAGTTTCTGATCTTTTTAAAGTACTTTCCGTTCAAGGGTTTCGTACGGTCTTCCTACTTTTGTATATTTATTTTCATTAAATAGCAGTTGTTTGGATGAATTCAGATTCGATCTTCTCAGGAGGAGCCTGTCCTTCTAAATAACTGTTCTTATACGATTTTTCACCTGGGAAAGTGACTTAGAACAAGATTTAAAAAAATCTCTAGCTACGGCCGTTGAGCTCTGACTTACAGCTGGCTGGGAAATAAGAACAGATATATTTCTCCCAGGAACCCATCGGCTCCTCTTGTCTTCTGGCCATATGAGCCAGGTATCTTCCTTGTATTGATGTTGTATATTCCTTTTTTGAATGTGTTTTGCATATATATAGGAGGTCGTTGTTCGAGCATGCGGCAGCACATTGTTTTGTATGTACTTATGGTTCACTTACTTGTGCAGTTATCCAATGACGTACTTCCGGCCTGGTTTGTAGTACTACCAGTTGGRCATGGAGTACAACTAGATTGGCCCTCATTGCTTTGATAAGTTCCCTTGGGACACTTTTGACAGGGTGAAAATGACTCTTCAAGGCCATTATCAGAGTAGGTGCCGGGACGACATTGGGCTGAAAAAGTGTTACAATCAATCACCACGGGCCGTAGTCTAATTAGCATTGTTATATTGGTAAATTATTTTCACTGTTTTCTCGYTCTCTTATTGGACGATTCGGTGTCACGTGTCCGGAGCTAAAATCAACTGTTGACTGATCGGTCAACAGTTTGACGATTGTTGACCGCTTGGCCATTGGCGGGAAAAGGCCGCCTCGCGTCGAGTAAAAGTTTGTAAAGGCGGGAATGTTTTTTTTTTGTTTCCCTCGAATTCTCGGGAAACAAAACTAACCGTTTCCCTTGGGAACAGTCATTAAGTGTATAATATCAAATTAACATTCTACGAGTCGTGATTCACAGCATATCATCAAATGACACTTACGTAGACAGTCGGAGGCTTTGGTGCTTCTAACTCCCTTAGTAGTGTAGCCCTTTGCGCATGGCTGACAGGCAGTCTTTCCATCGACATCTTGGTAAGTTCCAGTTGGRCATTCAAGACACTTGTTATCGTTGACCGTCTCGTGATAAGTTCCTTGGACACAGTTCACTAGGATTGAAAACAAATCATACGAAATTATAAATTACGTATAGAGTGGTTTGAGTCAACTCATGAATGGCATTTTCTGCAGTAAAGCATGATGGGAGTTGTAGTCGTGACACTTTTTATAGTCCCTTAAAGGGACACTGTCAATGGATGACATGCGCAGTAACAGTCTTGCCTCTAAAGGACTTTGAAAGTATTACCTTCGAGGTAAATCATTTTGTGGTGCTTTTGACACACTTTGGAATATTCTAGATCTGTTAACGTTTACGAGCTGATTTATGTCGCGCCAACTTGGAGTCATAAACTTGAAAACATTAGCCTAGTGTTTTCAAGTTTACTCGCGCATGCGTGCCATTGATAGTGTCCCTTTAAAAATATCCCTAAAAGCCGTTTTAGGTTTTAGGTTTTCTACGTAGCTATGAATCAACTACAAATGTTTCTGCAGAGAAAAAGCAAAACGGTTCATGAGGAATGTTTTAGAAAAGTTGTTCGTCGTTTAGCAGCCACAAATGGAACTCTTACTTTAAAAGTACATTTAATTGAATAATGGTTATGTGTCTAATTCCAATTGGACTGGTTTTTGGCTATTTTCTCCGCGCTTTTTAAAGCTTGCAATCGTCTCAAATTTGCAGATATTATAGGGAAAACACTTCTGAACAATCGGCCATTTTGATTGTTTCCATATATGGCATAGATTTGCTGAAGGAAGCACAAAACTAAGATTTAATTCTTGATATGGATGTGAAAAAGTTACTACATGTCTACTTACTGCATTTTCCGTCTTCTAGGGTCGAACCAGGCTTACACTTTCCATTCCCATCAGGCAGTGAGAACCCTTAAAAACACATAGCAAAGATATCAATAGTAAAATGATAAATAGACAAAAATAATAAATAGAATGAAATCTTTGAATAGATAAGCTTGAGTACTAAAATACAGTCGCCATCTTGAATTTATTCCGATAAGAAATTATGGGATGGCAAATGATCAAGAATTTTAATATAAGACTTCTGGGCATTGAGACTGCTACATTTTGCCATTCAATTTTATACCCTTAGATAATAAAACCATATGRTAGCCATAATTTGGATTTTACAAGAAATGATTCTAAGGAGGCATGGTGTACCAGCATTCAATGCGGTMGTGCATTAGTTCATATATGGAAAGCAAGGTGACTTTATCCATTCGCAATCGTTTCCATCCATCGGTTTTAAGGTCGGATCTTACAATATATCCATTTATATAGTATAAAGGGATAATAAAGAGTAACTTTTTGCTTATATTACGATGTACTTTTATTTTCAAACATATGAACAAATTAAGGGATGCTGGTGGACCATGCATGCCCCTTTAATTACAAAAGCATGCAAATTATCAGCGGGTGAAATTCAGCAATTTTTCATGTGCTCCGTAAAAACATTCTCGCGCTATTTTGCTTTTTGGACACCCCAACTAATAACATTCACAAAATTCAATATGGCGACTATATTTGTAACAAGTGATCCAACAATGGCACCATACCTGCACACCCTGGTATTTTCGTGAGTGTGACATAATTTCCTTGGTTGTAGATTTGCCATTTGCCAAACCTACAGTTGTATACGACATTCTGATAGGATCTCGCTCCCTCTGGCTTGGGATTAAAGTAGTAGTTGAAGTTACAATTTAAGAAGAGAAGCATTGGAGTCTGCATGATTCGACTATTTGGTGGTGTAGCGAATTTTGGACAAATGGTTCCTGCAATATTAACATCAATTGTGTTAATAAAGGGCTACTTGGACGAAAATTGCGAAACATTAGAAAAGACCATATCAAACAATTGTCTAACATTCGCGCGGGCTACCTGTGTCTTTTGTGGGATTCCTTATTTTCAAGGATGGGAGAGGACTAGGACAAAATTATAATGGCCGACATGTTGAAAAGCAATTTCTCTGCAAATTCTGTAAGTTTTAGCCATTTTAAAGCACTAAGAGCTGGGGAAAACTTGAAAAAACTTTCTAACGTACTTCCTTATAAGGTAAGATTACCATGAATGTTTCTCCGAATTGTTTGATATGCTATCCATATGGGTATAATAATCATGAAGCAACAGATTTCAAGAAGATATTGATACAAATCCTTAATCACTCGGGCAAAAAATATTGGAGTAGATGACGTCATTTACTCCAATCCTTTTGTTCTTCCATCTTTTGAATCAAAATTTCTCTGATGTGTGATAATTCCAAAACAAATATTTTTCCGCGATTGTTTTTAATAGATATAAATGAGTTATATTATATTTGTATTGCTTGAAGTTTTAAAATATAAGGTATCCGCTATACGATATAGGAGAATTGAAAAGTTTTCAAAGTTGTAATTTAGTGCAAGAGAGATACGACATAAGAGTTGCTCCTAACGCAAATGAGATCAAAACAATGACCTCAACTTGTTAAAAATGTCTTAAATGAGCCTGCAAGGCTCCAAAATTACCCTCAGCGGAGACTCGGAAGTCACAATGCGCAGTGTTTCCAGCGGCGTCAACAGCGGTGTAACGGACGTTGAGGGATGTATCTCTTTCCATCTGGTGCCCAGGCCTCTTGCTAGACATTGTCATAACCACGGCAACGTTGTCCGTGAAGGTTGGCTCAGTCCAGGAGACTGTAATGAGGTGATTGCTGCCTTTGACGACGATTTCTTTGCTAGGACAATTGACGGCTGTGGGTGGAGTCTTGTCTGTTTGAAGAAAAAAAATATTAGTCGATTATGGCTTGATTTAAGCTAACTKAAAAAGTAGCAATAGCCAATACACCTTTTCAGTTRMACTTAGGCCTCGATAGCAAGTWAATTATTCTTTTGAATTTGACAAATGAGACTATTCATATCAATGTTTGCATTGCTCACATTTTAACACGCTCTCTAGGCCTAAGAGCAACTGAAAAGGAGTATTTGCGAATTTCGCCTCAGTAGTCAAACACAAAAGAATCAAGACTCGAGGCGCCGTGCGTCAAGCTCAGTCATTCGTGAAAAACTATTGTATGTTTACGAATGACTGAGCTTTACGCACGGCGCCTCGTCTTGATTCTTTTGTGTTTGACTACTGAGGTGAAATTCGCATGTCGGCTATTGACAAACTACCAATAGGAAAGACTCTATCGCATCACGTGTTCTACTCTACACCAATGAGAGCGAAGGTAGATTTGTTTTTTGAATTAGAATACATACAGAGCAGAGTGACACGTGACGAGTTCAAGCCAAGAAGTGAATATAATCTAGCTAGCATATCATAAACAAATMAATAAACAAGTGTGTAAAAGTTAACAAATTTATACAAAATTTCGACTTCCACCTTCAACAATGACGTAATAGAAACAGCTCTTTGATACTCCATCCTGATTGGTTGCTGTCCATTTAACACGTGTTTTGCCTGCAGGGAAKGCATAGTTCTCRTTCARGTTAGTCGGTGACACGGCTACTTTCTTCATGTTTGTTTTTGGTGGACGCCATCGATATCCAAGAACGAAACTGTTACTAGAAGGCGGCAGCTGGACCACGACATCGGTTGGGCACTGGATCCAGGGTTGGTTGTATACTAAGAAATAAGTAACAAAAATAAAGAAAGACAGTCGACAACCAGGAATAACACAATGATTTTCTAATAACTACATTCCGCACATAGAAATCCAACGAACCTGAAAAAAGCTGCTGTTTTTAAGGAATGTACAGCTAGTTTAAGTGCTACCGTAAGTGCGTTACGATCACGCACTGTAGAAAAAAACTTTGCATATTTGATTTGCTTTTTCTTTGTCTATAGTTTTTTTAACGAAAGCTTCTTATAACGCCCAGGTGAATTACACCTGCATACATTTTCTGTCCGATTTATGTGCCCACCCCGACAATACGGCCATTTTTCAATGTCCATTTAGTGTCCGAATTAACCGCAGTGATTATACTGTATTCTATACCATTACCATACCTCGTACGCAYGAGACCGGTGCATTCTCAGTCCACTTTGTATTGTTACAGGAGACGTAACGAGGACCACGTAACTCGTACCCAGGATTACAGTGATACACACATCGTATTCCATGCTCGACATCTTGCATAGAGCAGGACCTGGGTACAACTSCTCCGTTGGTTAGTGTAGTTARTTTGGGACAAACCACAGCTAAAAGGGGAGTGATGTTATGAGTCAAAATTAGTTCAAAAAGAGGGCTTCAGATTATAGACATATATATCACATAATTAGAGTGCATACATAGCTTCCTCCATATGCAACTCTTTTTTTCTCCTTTGGGCTTCCTTTGTAACGGTCATAATGGCCGTTAGGGACTAGTGACGAGATAGGAAAAATAAAAAGAGGAGGAGTTCACACGGGAGAATCTACGTAGCACTCAGTTGATGTAATATATTCATAAAGATATAATACAAAACACATAATACAATAGAACGAGAAACAATGGAATACAATACATTTTATGAATACATTACATCAACTGCATGCTACGTAGGTCACCCCGAGTTCACACGCTTCCCTTTTCTCGCCCCCATTCTCCCTCTTTGAACTCCTCAAAAAGACAGGAAGCCCGTGATTCTTAGTGATGCCTGCGGAGGAGGCTAGTGCAAACACTAAAAGCGTGAAACACTAACCAAATAATGCGAAATAGTGCAATAGACAAAATCAACAATAGAAAACAATAAAAAAAAAATAGAAAATAGAAAAAAAAAAGAAATTCATATTATTTAATTTAAAAATTTTAATTACATAAGTTTTTCATAGTTTTAGTGTTTTCACTCAAAAACTACAACAAWGCGAAAACTGACGCTTTTCATTTGACGATGGACTTTACACCTAACTGGGCAAACTGAAAACTAGGGATTTCAAACGGGCATGCAAACCTGAGTTAATATATAACTGAAGACAATACCTTTACAATATGGAACTTTACCAGCCCAAGTACCATCAATTTTACAAGACAAAGATCTGTCTCCTCTAGCAAGRTGGTACCCAGTTTCGCATTGATACGTGCAGAAAGTATTACGTCTGATGTTTACRCGCTCGTCAAGACACAATGATGGTTGCACGGAACCTTTGAATGGAGCCTCCAAGGCTGGACAGTAAATTTCTGTCAAAATAATAAGTAAATTACCCATTTGATCCAAACGTTTTTGCTATGCATGTGGGAGAGATGACTTGTACGCGTATTAGYACGCATAGAACACGCACGTAAACGTAAGAAAATGCGTAATAGTGGTATTTAGGCAATTAACGATAGTTTGAAGCGGTTTGCGAGAACACGAGAAAAGATGTGTAAATCACGAACCGTCAGGCGTTTGATTTACCTTTTTGTGTGTTCACCCAACCATCCTGCGAGGTGTATTTCGCCAGTAAATCGCTTAAAGCTATCGTTTATTGCTTTTATATTATACTAGCCGGAGTCCGCCATTTAGACTCAAAAGTCTTTCAAGACAGCAGCCTGGTTTACCGGTGAAATAAACCATAGCTTTTCTCATGAAATCCACCAATCAGCATGTTAGAATTGAGCTATAATATAAAATATGTTTACTCACCTTCGCATCCATGGTCGTCAGGTTTGAGTCGGTAGCCAGTATTACACTTGCAGTAGTATCCACCGTCGTAGTTCTTACACTGGTGTGCGCATCCGCCATTGTTGGTCGCACACTCGTCGATATCTTACGTAAAATCACAGTTTCAGAAACAACTATGATATCTACTTTTCTGTAATATGTCATATTATCATTGAGTACTGGGAAAAGTCCCTTCTGGGACCGAAAGAAATGCATATATCAAACTTTTTTTGACG